CACACACACACACACACACACACACACAAAAAAAAAAACCTGGGGGGAGGTGAAGAAGACATAACAATCGCTATTCCTTGAAGTTGATAGGACAACACACACAAAAACCTGGGGGGAGGTGAAGAAGACATAACAATCGCTATTCCTTGAAGTTGATAGGACAAACAAACAGAAAGGACATTGTTGGGAGGGAGGGGGAAGAGAGAGGAGGGAGGGAAGTTTCGGTAATGGGCCACAATAATCAACCACATTATATCAACAAAATAAAATAAAATATTTTAAAAAATATTTTTAAAATGTTTTTAAATGTTAAATTAAAAAAGAAAAGATGGAGTTCCTGAGGTGAAAGACACTGTATAAATTCAAAATATTTCATACTTAAGAAGTTGAAAAATTATTTCTGTCCAAATAAACAGCAGTGTTTTTATGACCACTTGGGTATCGGCACAGCTGACATGGCCTGGTCATTTCATTTTGGCAAATTTAGTGCCAAGTGTAATGTTCCGTTTGGAATGGCATTAGCTACTCTCTCCCCTCTTTTTAATAATCTCTGAAATAATTTCAAATGGAACATTACATTTGGCACTAGATTCTTCCAAATCTAATTTTCAGAGTGGAAATATTATTTTTGCAGATGTCAATTTATTTAGAGTCCCTAGATTCATTTGCAATCAAGTCCCTGGATTTTGACATGTGACATTATAGTCATGTAAGGCCAGTATGGTGCATTGAGTGTGATACAATTTTCCCAAAAGGTGAGTTAAAATTACCCAAGAATGTGGATTTATGCCTCCTCTGGCTTTTGGGGTTACATTTTAAACCTGAATGTTATATCACTATTGTCATTTACTATTGCCAACTGGCTCGTTTTTCCTTGACTGTCAGGATTTTAGGGTGACTAGTGTTAAAGCAGTGACCACTAAGGGTCATGGCAGCACACAATTGTGACTGAATCAATCATTTGCAAGTATCATTTGCAGGACTTTAAATTCTCAAACATGAGTTCCTGCTGTTGCTAAGTTGATTTCTACATATCAGCTCCTGATTTGGCACCAGATGACCAAGGTTCTGGTTCCAGATCCATCTGTATGACTTAAGGAAAGTCACATGTCTTTTGTATTTATCTTGCTCAGCGGAGAAGCAGTGGGGCTGTTGGGTAAGGGGGTCTTGGGGTGTCATGAGTAGAGAAAGAGCGCTGAAGGGCTCTGAGGAAAGAGTGACACACAGGGCCAGGGTGATGCTCAGAGGTAGGGTGAAGTCAGACAAACCAGCTTATCCCCTTAGTTATGGGAAGAGCTGAGGACCTGAGAACAGCAGGAGTCATAGTGAAGAGGAGAGAGAAACTCTAGAGGTATCTGGAAGGCAGCAAGGACTGAGGATTCTTTGATGATTTCCTGATTTCTGGCCCAGCCGGCTGGGTTGCTGAGGTTATTGACTAAATGTCCTGCTTTTTGCTTAGCAACCTATAATTTGGCATAGATTCCTTTAAGAGAGAGAAAAAAAAATAAGGTGCTTCCCTAGAGTTCTTGAGATTTAGTTTATTTCCATAATCATTGATGTTGCCTCCTTTTCTCAACTGACCAACTCTTGTCTTAAATCAAATTATGTAAGCTCTGACTTGGTAGGAACTAGAAACCATAAAAACCATCAATAAGGAAATATTATCAGAGTTCTAGAAGCTTTTCTGTCTTTTCCTGGAGTCTGTTCTTGTATTTCTAATATTAAAATATTCAAACCCTGAGGCTTTCGAACCACACTTTCAGCTCTGAGTCACCAGCAGTCTACCCAATGCATTTTTTGCCAAAAGGGTAAATGAGGTCTCTCTAAAGGGTAACTTAGAATCCTGTTGTTATTGACACATTAGAGCACAAGAGCCTCCCTGGAAGCCACAGAACATTAAATAATTAATTGCTCACTATTGTTTTGTTTCCACAGTATCAGCATGGGGGCGGGACAAAGAGGTGAGGAGCAGATCCACAATCCTGGAGTGATACTTTGGATTTTAACTGAACTATTTCTTTCTTTTTTTTTTTTTTTTTTTCAAGATGACCGGTAAGGGGATCTCAACCCTTGGCTTGGTGTTGTCAGCACCACGCTCAGCCAGTGAGCAAACCGGCCATCCCTATATAGGATCCGAACCCGCGGCCTTGGTGTTATCAGCCCCGCACTCTCCTGAGTGAGCCACGGGCCGGCCTTAACTGAACTATTTCTTTCTTTTTTTTTTTTTTTTTCAGGATGACCGGTAAGGGGATCTCAACCCTTGGCTTGGTGTTGTCAGCACCACGCTCAGCCAGTGAGCAAACCGGCCATCCCTATATAGGATCCGAACCCGTGGCCTTGGTGTTATCAGCACCGCACTCTCCTGAGTGAGCCACGGGCCGGCCTTAACTGAACTATTTCTAGTAGCATTTTTTCAGCACATGTTTAATAGATGTTATATGGAGGGGAAAGCTTCTGGGTTCAAAAAACCTGGAATAAACAAAAATAAACAGGTTTCCTTGCTCTGGACTTCTCAGAGTCTTTTCTATGCTGATGTGAGCCGCGTCTGTCTAGGAGAGGAAGTCATATGCAACAGTTGTCACACTCACTCAACCACAGAACCCTGTTTCCGCAGAATGTCCCTGAGAACTAGTTGTGTGGAGCACTGCTTTGGGGAACGGAGGACATGAGAAACCTGCCTTCTCTGCAGTAGGTGGAGAGCTGAGGGCACCTTTGTGTCCGGAATGTTTCCTTTGTGATCACTAAAGTCGTTAGCTCTCATCTAGCCTCTGTGTGAAATGCTTCAGTACTTCTGATTTCTCTGTCATTTCCTTGGGTTCCTATATCACATCACCACAGAAATTACAAGAAGTGTGGAGAGCACTAGACCTGGTCAGGACCTTCAGATTCTAGTTTCGTTCTCCTTGAGAAATAGATTTTGACCAGGTACATACAGCAAGCAAGTTGCATTCATTGCAAATCTGCTAATATTTATTTTCCTAATTGAAAAACTGGCATAATAGGACTTTTATGTAGAATTTTAAAAAAATCCAGCCCTTTAATGCAGTACTGTACATTTTTTTCATATTATTTTCTCTAGTAACTACTTTATTGAGATGTAATTCACATACCATACGATTCGCCCACTTAAAGTGTACAATTCAGTAGATTTTAGTATATTCACAGAGTTGTACCACCATCACCACAGTCAGTTCTAGAACATCCCCCACAAAAATCCCAGACTCTCTAGCAGTAACCCCCCTCGCTTCCTTCCTGCCTAATTCTCAACTCTAGGAAAGTACTAATCTACTTCTGTCTCCATAGGTTTGCCTATTCTGGATATTTCATGTAAATATTTCATACAATATTTGTCCTTTTGTGTATGGCTTCTTTCATCTGATATGTTGTCAAAGTTCATCTGTGTTGTAGCATGTAACAGTACTTCATTCCTTTTTATTTCCAAATAATACTCCATTGTATAGATATAACACATTTTATTTATTCATTAGTTGATAGACATTTGGGTCATTTCCACTTTTTTACTATTATGAATAATGCTGCTGTGAACCTTTATACAGATTTCTGTATGGATATATGTTTTCTTTCCTTGAGTAGAACTGCTGGGCCATATAGTAACTGTTTAACCATTTGAGGCTGCCAAACTATTTTCCAAAGCGTCTTCTCCATTTCACATTTCTACCAGCAGTTCATGAGAGTTCTAATTTTCCACATTCTTGGCAATATCTCATTGCCAAGTGATATCTCATTGTGGTTTTGACTTGCGTTTCCCTGATGGCTAATGATGTTGAGCATCTTTTCCTGTGCTTATTAGACATTTATATATCTTCACTGAAGAAATATCTATTTAGGTCCTTTGATCATTTTTGAATTATGCTGCTTTTTTATTATTTTAATAGTTCTTTATATAGACTAGATACTAGTTCCTTATCAAATATATGATTTACAAAAACGGTCTCCAGTTCTGGGAGCTGTGTTTTTACCTCCTTGATGGTGGTGCCCTTTGAAACCAAAAGTTTTTCATTTTGATGATGTTCAATTTATCTGTTTTTTGTTGTTGTTGCTTTTGCCTTTGGTGTTTTATCTGTGTTTTCTAAGATGCTTTACACTTCATCTGAATTTCAGTAAGTAAGAAGTGTAGAGCATGTTAGGAAGAAAGGCATGTTGCTTCCCTTTGATGGCATGACCTGGCAGTTGCTTCTGCACATACCCCATGGCCACATCCCATAGCTACAAGGGAGGCTGAACAGTGCTGCCGTTAGCTATGCAGCTATCTGTCCAACTAAATATTCTATTGCTGAATCAGAAGAGGAGGCAGTACAGGGATTAACTGGTAGTCTGTTCCACAAGCTGTTTCTCTGACATAGACCTTCAGGTCTATGTAATATGCTTGTACTGCTGTCTCTCGAGTCACCAATTCTAGACATTACCTATTGACTTTCACTCTTACTCCACCATTCCTCACCTTCCAGCCTCCTAATAACATTATATCATAATTGCAGAATTCGCAAATATATATCTCTTTTTTGAGAATGGACAATATGGGATCAAAAATTGGGGTCTTCACTTTGAGAAGTAAATCCACTCTCTGCCAGCTGGGGCAGCAGGTGTCTCCCAGCTGGTGTATCTGTACAGTGGATGCTGGCTGAACTTCAGCCTTGGAGACCTGTTTGGGTTGCATTTCATTCTGTTTCCTCTGCACCCCATCCTTTGCTTCCTGACATCCTCAGTGAAAGAAGATAAGAGCTGGCCTAGATGCCTACAGAGCCTGTCTTTACCCCTTTGAAATATAAATCCTAAATCCTATTCTGATTTTAATTTTGGGATTTGTAAAATATATTTTAGATAATTACATGAAGTCATAAAACATGGTAAGTGTTGTATATAGCGAGAGTTCGTAACTTATAACTGTTGTTGATTACTTATGTTGTAAATAAATTCAAGTGAACTTACTACTGGTTTGTTTACGAACTCTCATCTCTTCTTCCTTTGGGACTTTTAGGTCTTATATTTCCAACCCTACATATATTCAGTGAAAATATTACATGCATGTATGGCTTGTCTCCCTGCTTGCAGTAGTTGTAATAAACTTCATTTAAGATGACACAATGTTCTGATAAATCCATATTGTTTTATTATGACCACATAAATGTCATTCACAACTGAGCCAAGTATGCCATGATTATGTTTTCCTTTTTGTATATCTTTTTGTTTTTCCTGAAGTTCATAATTTCCTCACTTTTTTTCATTTGCTTTGTGTTCCTTGAATTTCTGATTAATTCTTCCCAGCCAGCACTCCCCACAGCTCTTTTTTTTTTTTTTTTCCGTGTCCGGCAACGGATCGCAACCCTCATTGTTGCCCCCGTACCGGGCCGGGGACCGGCAACGGGATTGCAACCCTCAGTGTTGCCCCCGCGCCTCGCTCAGCCAGTGAGCGGGAACCGGTCTGTATGTGGGATCCGAACCCTCGGGCGGGAGCGCCGCCGCGCTTCGACTTGTACATATGATGTAGGAACAATACAATTAAGATGAAAATCCAATTTCAAAACTCATAGAGCCATCAGCAACTGCTGATGATCGAGGTGGGCTGGGTTTTTGGTGAAGGCTTTGGGGAGGAGGTGAACTTTAGGTATTTGAGAAAAGGATTGTGAAAAAGCAGTAAAATTGAAGGCATATTTAGAACTGTAAACTGGTTATCCTTGGCAACCTTACTGATTCATGAGCATTCTAAACTCTCGTCATGTAACAGGAAGTCTGAGAATGAACAAAGGTCTGGGAACCTAAACAACCATGTCCAAATCTCCTTTCTTGAAGACAGACCTATGCATCTCTTCACCAACATTCCTACTGTGGATTCCAGCCAGTCTCCAAAAAGAGACTGAGAAAGTTGTGTCCACACTATTTCCTAGCACACAGAAGAAGTTAAAATCATATTTTTCCTCATAAGCTTAGATCAGCTTTTTGATGAAGGGGTTTGAAGAAACATCAAAGCAAAAAAGCTGATATTAAGCCATTCAAGTCATTCTCCTCTGACCATTTAAACCTAGAAGGTGTATTGTCTAAAGAAATAATTCCTTCCCATTACTTTTTTGCATTTTATAATTAGTAAAATTTATTACTACAGCCAGCTGGGATAAACAATTAAGGAAGCTCTTAGTGATGTGGATTTTGGGGGGTTTGTTTGTTTGTTTGTTCAGTTTCAAGTCAAATCACTGACACAATATCAGGAGTTCTGAAGTAAAAAAAAATCAAATTTTTAGGGGTGCATGAAAAATTGTTTTTCTGTTATCACTGTTTCCCACAGTTGCATAATTAGCATTTTCTAAATTATTGTTTCTTGCCCTCCAAGAAGAACAGAAGCAGAAATAAAGATCAAATTTTTAGGGGTGCATGAAAAATTGTTTTTCTGTTATCACTGTTTCCCACAGTTGCGTAATTAGCATTTTCTAAATTATTGTTTCTTGCCCTCCAAGAAGAACAGAAGCAGAAATAAAGTGGTTTTTTGCCATTCCACCTGCATTGTTACAAATAGTTCACATTCTGCTGAGTTTCACATAACCAACACCATGGCCCAGAGCATTCTTTATATGGCCAAATAAATTTTGTGGTCACAGTGTCTCCTTTCGAACATTACTCCTAGTTTCTCCAAACCATATGCTTTGGAATGTAGTAAATGACTGTTTTCCCTTCTTGACCATGAACATCTTTTGGTAATATTTATTGCTTGTCATTTGTCCTCGCCCTTCATGTCCACTCAACATTTATTCACTTCCTTAGTTACTTTTTTGTCAATAATCTCAGCAAGAATGCTCTGGAACTTTCCGTCATATCACAGAGCTTTCCATCATACCGAAGAGCTTTAGAACATGTCTCCCAAACATTAATCTACCCTTTCAGGGCAACATTCAGAGAGGTTGCTGAGATCTGACTTAAGCATTGTGTGTCTTACTCAGTTTTATATCTCTGTTTCCACACGATGCGTTGTAATACAAGCAGCAGTTTTGACAGACAACCCTATAGCAAGTGTTCTCAACCAGGGGCAGTTTTGCCACCAGGAAATATTTGGCAATTTTGGAGGCATTTTTGTTTGTCATAACTCGGGGAGTGCTACCTGGTAAGGGCTGGGGATGCTGTTCGATGTTCTGCAATGCACAGGACAGCCCCTACAACAGAGTCCATACTGTCAGTGGTACCAAGGTTGAGAAACTCTGCCCTTACAGAACCAGCAACTGAAAAAACCTTGTTTTTATGAACAGCTGAAGCTGAAACAACAAGCCTTGGCCCCTGTGGATGAGGGATTTACTTATGCTCAACTCCATCTCCTTAAGAAGATACGTGTGTTGAAGAATAAATGTCTACTCAGAATGCACTATTGCGTTCAGGAACAAAACAGTGCCAGGCTTCAGCTTCCTGAGTGGGTTTTCTAGGGTACTAGGAAATGCTGGAGAAGTCAGCCCTGCTTCTCAAGAGAAAGCCACTGTCCTCTGTCACTGAGGGAATTCAAAGAGGCCTCTCCATATGCTTGTGATTTACTGTTTGAACAGCAAAAAGCACTCAAAATTGTGTATTTTAGGATTACAGCTATTTAAAAAAAGAAACTAAGCAAAGGAAAAACACTTAAAAGAAATAATACGTATATGGTAATCTGGCTGTGTTTGGGTGGTGGGTTTCTCGAAGGCTGTGTTCCATCCTCTCAATGAATGTGATGTGGTTTTATAACTTCTATAACTAAGAGGGATGTCTCCCTTAAGATGCTAAAGCTGAGTGTCAGTGCTGTCAGTTATTTTGTGATTTGGTCACTTGCGAAGAAGGTGTTTTGTGTTTCTTCCCCTCTGAACAGGAATTCCCAGCACCAGCTCAGAGGATGCCATCTTAGCCCAAACCCTGGGCCTGTCCTACTCTGAGGTCATTGAAACTTTGCCAGATGGCACAGAGAGACTGAGCAGCTCTGCTGAGGTTGGTGCCCCATGACATAGGCCTGAGAACTTACTTTTAAAATCATGACCTTGATATGAGCTTGATGGGACACTTTCCTTCAGATGCAAGTCACAACCCGCCGTTCACCCGTCCCAACACCTAACAACAGTCTTGCAGCCTTATTTCTTCATCTGTGAAAACTAAATAATATTCTTCTTCAAGATCTAGAAGTTTATCAACTCTAATTTGAATCCATTGCTAGAATACTATGGTGTTGAAGTAACTAAACTTTATTTGGGGAATCTTCTGCTTGAGAAAAATTATTTTTGCCAAGGTATCTCTGGTTCCTTGAGAGAGGTGACTGAAATTGACTGTTCTTCCTAGAGAAGGTTTCTCTTCTCTCCACATTACTGACTTTATTTCCACCTAAAGTTTAACTCATTTATAGAAATCAACAGAGAAGTTCTGAGTCATGTTTATTTGGTCAATGTTATCCCTTGCTAGCATGAAACAGTAGCACTTGAAGATGGTATGTCTGGTAGGATTTGAGCCCAGTCCTCTATGTTGAAGTAAACCAGAAGGTATGGTGGAAGAGATAGGGTGAAGGACGGCACAGAGATGTGGGAAATGGCTTAGAGCAGTGATTTTCAACCGGCTTAGAGCAGTGATTCTCAACCTTGAGCACACATCAGAGTCACCTGGTGGCCTTGTTAAACCAGATTGCCTGGCTCCCATCCCACCCTAGAGTTTCTGATTCAGTACTCCTGGGTGGGACCCCACAATTTTCATTTCTAGCAAGTTTTCAGGTGCTGCCGATACTGCTGCTGATCCAGAGACCACATTTTGAGAATCACCAGCTTAGAACCTTGCTGCTCAAAGTCTGGTCCAGACGAGCAGCATTGGCATCGCTTATTAGAAATGTGGAATCTCAGACCCCACCCTAGTCTAATAAGATCCATGTGTGATTTGTATGCATATTAAAGTTTGAAAGTACTGACTTAGAGCACTCTTTCTTAAACTTGGCTGCACATTAGAAATACCTGGAAAGTTTTTTTAAAATACTGATGCTTGAGTCCCACCCCAGATATTCTGATTTAATGGTTATTGGTGGTGAGGGCATAGATCAGACTTCAAGAGTGTTCAGATCTACCCAGGTGACTCTTATTCTCATGTGCAGCAGATTCTAGGAACTACAGGCTTACCATAGTGATTCCTCACCTGGCCATGTCTCTGAGTCACCTGGGAGGTGCTTACTGGCCCTATCTTAAGTGATCCTGATTCAATTAGACCTGAAGATCGAGGTCTTTCAGGTTTGGGGCTACTTGACTATAGGATGTTTTATATATAACTACAGAATAAGGGAGAATGGCCAGGTTTTTTTTTCCCTTATAAGGGGTGACATTTTCTGACCTCATGTTTGTGTCTTTGCTTCATAAATTGCATCCCCAGACATGAATCATGCTTAAAGATGTTGAACCTTAAACCTTTTTTTAGACCTTGTTTGAGCAGCCTTCTTGGAGGTGGAGCAGAGCCAGGCCAATCTTGGTGTCTATAAGGGAGCCCCAGTTAACCCTCTGCAGGGCAAGAAAGAGGACACCATGGCCAAAATTAGGCTTCTGAAGAGCCCAGAGAAACACTTATTCCTTAATATAGGGCTCTGGGCATTAATTATTCTCCCTGGCTTCTTTCAAGTAGTTTCAGATGGTCTGTTCTGGCTCTAGGCTGAGTATCTAAGATAAAGGAATTCCTTCAACAAGTGGAAGGAGAATGGATATGAAAAGCTGCTTTCATCCAGGAGCTTCTAGAATGTAAAGACAGTGAAGAAGATAGAGACCGAGAAGATAAACTTTCAAGAGCACTTGTTACAATTTGCATCCTAACTATATGATCAAGGGAGTGCAGGACATAGAAAATGTCTTCCCAGAGTATAAGTGGTTCCTTGGTAGAGAGCTCTGTACTTCAGAAGACACTTCAGACCATTCATGAATAGGGCTACTTTTGGTAAACATAACTGTATTTTCTTATTCTTTATGCCTCATGACTGGAAACTCCCTGAGGATATGGCAGATCATATTTATCTTTGTGCCCCTAATGCCTAGCACAAGCCCAGCACATAGTAGGCATAGTGTGCCTTCACTGACCCAGTTCCGGGGTACTGACGACCTGGGTTGTTAACAAGCCACACTGCCTCCATGCCTATCATTAGTTTGGCTCTCTGAAAAACTAATGCCTAGCACAAGCCCAGCACATAGTAGGCATAGTGTGCCTTCATTGACCCAGTTCCGGGGTACTGATGACCTGGGTTGTTAACAAGCCACACTGCCTCCATGCCTATCATTAGTTTGGCTCTCTGAAAAGCATCAGGTGGAAGAATTTCCCTTTTGTACTATTAATGTTCTGCCCTGCTGTCTATAAAATGGGAGCATTTAAATATAAAAAAAAGTGGTCTGGTTCTTCAAGCTGAGGCTCCAAATTGTTCCCCTGCTTGTCTGAATTCCTTCTGCTGAAAGATAACATTGAAGTTTTCTTTTCTGGATATTTCCCCCCCCAACAAGGGAATAATCATTAAAAAATACATATCATGTAGTTCTTTACCGGCAGCCAAATGCTGATATTTGATTATCTCTATAGGTGTTGCAGGGCTTCAATGAATGATAAGGAGAGCCACAGAACCAGGGCCACCTTACCCATTAGACATAGTAGACATGGTGCCTAAGACCCACAATACTCTTAGAGACCCCCCAAAAATGTTTTAATTTCTTTTAAAATCAGGGGGAAAAAATGAACTTTTAGGGTCAAACATTATGTTTATTCTTATATCAACCATAAGATGTAATTTGTAATATCTTAAGAAGGAAAGGACCCACAAAGGGCAAAAGCACCTAGGGCTCATGAAAGTCATAACACAGCCCTGCACAGAGCTGGTCCCATGGGAGAGCCACACCTAAGCACGGCAAGATGGGGTGGTAGCATGGGGGTGGTAGCTTGTCTTCTGCAGGGAGGAACAAGCTCTCTCCCTCTCTCTCCCTCTCTCTCCCTCTCTCTCCCTCTCCCCCTCTCCCTCTCCCTCTCCCTCTCCCTTCTCTCTCAGTTCACAGGTATGACCCGGCAGGATGCTTTTCGAGCCCTGACTCAGAAAGCCCAGGGGAAGAGAGTGGGCGGAGATGTGACAAGTGAGAAACTGAAAGACTGGCTGATCTCGCGGCAGCGGTACTGGGGCACACCAATCCCCATGGTCCACTGCCCAGCCTGTGGCCCTGTGCCTGTGCCTCTGGAGGACCTGCCCGTGACCTTGCCCAACATCACAGCTTTCACTGGCAAGGGAGGCTCCCCACTGGCCATGGTTTCGGAGTGGGTGAACTGCTCCTGCCCAAGGTAAGGAGCCACGTCCCCACAGTGACGGTAACGGTGCCTGTGGCCCCAGCACCTCCTGGGGTTTCAGACAACCTCCTCCGTTCTGGTGCTAACTCTGTTCCATGACTTCCAGCGGGCTGGAAAGAATAGCGTAGGTCTTTTGGGATCTTTGAGAGAAGGTCTGGAATCTGTGGTCCAGCCACTGTGATAGGCTCCCTCCTCTCTCTTCTGAGCTGTTGGAAGCAGTGGTGTCAATTCAGATCTGTGCCAGAAATATCTGATCCAACTGATGGAAAAGCTGCAGTTTTTCATCATAGCTTTGTAAAAGATCACTGTCTTCCATTTTATATTCCAAAGAGCTTCTTGGAGATGAGAGAAAATGTTTTCTCTTCTCTGCCTTATAGTTTTCCGATAGAGTGACTGTGATAACAGTGGCGATTTTATCACAAGTAGCAGAGTAGCAGCTAAGACAGCGAGTATGCTCAGGGGACTTCATTAATATGCTGAGATGCATCATATTTCCTTTCTCCTCATTTTGGAAATGGGATTGTTTTTCTGTCAATCCACTATCATGCCTCTAGTGTGATTTTTATGATGCCATATCAGCTGATTAAGCAAATAAATAACAGATATCAAGCTCCATTATTTTCCTTCTTCCTTTTATTGAGAAGGCATTTTTCTTTGCTTTATAGATCATGATGAAGATGTTTTAAGATAGTTTAGTCCTCTGTCAGTATAGAGCTTAGTTATTAGGTTGGTAATGAGGTAGCCAGTTCAACTAGGTAGCCAGTTCAAAGAGGACTTTCAATTAAACTGAGTCTCTGGCAAGTCAGACAATAATAGATTCGAGACTTAGCTCTACCTCTTAACTAGTTGTCTGGCCTTGGGAAAGTCACTTAACCTCTCTGAGCTTCAATTCCTTTATCATAACCCCCTTGATGTGCTATTCAGAAGACTAGAACTAACACAGATAATCCTGCACATGGCACCTAGCAGGGTTTCAGTAAATGGAAGCATGACCACCACCCTCCCAGGGACATGCCAGAAATCCTCCTAGGTCCTCAACCAGGTGGTTTTGAAATTTGAGATGGAGCTTTTAGGAAGCCCTCAGCCATTTTAGGGTAGAACTGTGGGCTCCAGGAGGAAAATAGCATGCTGTCTTTCTTTTTTTTTTTTTTCCTTCTTGTCTTTTTTACTGACCAGTAACGGGATCGCAACCCTCGGTGTCGCGCCCGCACCAGGGACCGGCAATGGGATCGCAACCTTCAGTGTTGCGCCCGCACCACGCTCAACCAGTGAGCGGGAACCGGTCTCCACATGGGATCCGAACCCTCGGCCGGAGCACCGCCGCACTCCCAGGTGGCGCACTCTCCAGCGTGCCACCAGGCTGGCCCAGCATACTGTCTTTCTTGATAAGCTGTGACTAAAGACTTCCCTGCTAGAGATAGTGGCCTGCATACAGCACAGCAGCTGCAACCTGGTTGGTAGGGATAAGTTTTTCTGCCCTGGCTGCAGAATTCCTGGAAGATAGAGCCTAGACCTTGGTATTGGTCAACTCTTAATGAGCATCCAGGGCTGAGAGCCACTGAACCAGTGTGGCCAACCCAGACAGCACAGTGGTACAGACCACAGGACTCAGAGTCCAACAGATATGGATTCCTAATTCTTGAGCTCCAAGACAAGACCTTGGTGGGTTTCTTTACCTCTCTGAACCCTAGTTACTCATCTGCAAAATGGGGACATGAGTAGTATCTATCTCATAATCCCCAGGGTTACTGGAGATGAAATAATACCTGTGAAGTATTTGACTCAGTGCCTGCTCACCAGTACAATATTATTACTATTGGAGCTAAATACTGATATTGTTATCACCATCACCATCATCTGTCCTCTCACTTTCCAAGTAGCCTCTTCCTTACCATCAGGTTTTTAGTACCAGCAATAAAACATGTTAGTTTTCTCCAAGTCCAACAGGACCGTTAAGAAGGAAATCAGCATTGCGTGTGTTGGCTAGATGTTATTCCTTCTATAAATCAATACCTGCATTTTCTTCTTCACTTGTACCAGTACACACATCAGGCAAGGGAGAAAAAGTAACCTTTATCTTCTAATTATTTCCCAAAATAGTATCTGCGTTCTGGTTGATTGCTCTCTAAATAAAAAGACCTGGTTTTAATTTAGAGATGCACTGTTGAGATCAACTTCTTGTAGCAGCCCTGGGTGGTAGGAAACAGGATTCCCTGAGGGCTCTCTCTGACAAGCTCCTACCCTTAGGGACCACCACTGTTCCCAATGGGCGGCCCCCTGACTAAAATGCCCCTAAGGGTCCCAGAGCCCTGCCAGATCTGGGGCTCCCACGCTCTCTGCGTAGCCAGTTCCATTTAATCAGCTGGCACGGGGGCAAGGGCAGGGTGTGGAGGGTTGGCTGTTTCCTTTGGTAATATTTGTAAAGCAAGTATAAACTGCTTCACAAGTGCAAGATATAAATGTAGCCCTTCATTTATTTTTAAATTTAAAACAGACTCAAGCCCTTGCATGCTAAATTAGCAGAAGATTCATCAGTTTCATCTTGGGACTCCTCATCCCCCCTCACCAAACTCTCCAAGAACCCCCAAGGACCTACACTACCCAAAATATAGTATTTGGAGGGGTGATTGGCCCTGCTTCCATCCCTCAGAAAGGAGGGCCTGGAGTCTGAGCTATGTGTTCCTGTTGTGGCTTCTAACTGCCACACAAGGTCTCTGTTGATTACTGCCTCTGTCCGTCAGACAGGGGTGCTGTACTGCCACTGATCCAGGCCTTGAGAAGTCTTCAAGGGGGCTAAGCCCTCTCCTGTGCTAGAGTTGACTAAGGGAACTCTCTCTTGAGTTCCTAAAGGGTGTGGCTTTTGGCATCTGGTTCTTTCAGTCCCACAGGCCTGCAACTCTAATAATGTTCTTAAAAATTAGTGTAGCAATTGGGTCTTTGTGGGTCTTGATCCTCCTGGGACATCTCCATCTCTCAGATGGGGATTGCTTTTTCTTTTCAACCCTTCACACACCAAGGATGTCACTTCATTCTCTGCCTTGGACACTGGCGCTCTCTACCCCCTTCTGTAAGGAGCTTACCTATAGGCAGTGGTGTGGCAGGAAATGTGTCATAACCAGCTCTCTGGAGGGGGGTTCTGATTTGTAATGTTTGCCAGTTTCTGTGGTGTTCATACTCCCACCAGGGCTAATTTCAAGCTACCAACTTGAGGTCACTTGTCATGGAGTTGGGAAGAGAGGCTCACAACTGATTCTCACAGCTGGTGTGAGCTGACTGCAGCACGCCAATGCCTTTGGGGCTTCCAAGGTCATTTATCTTCCTTAGATTATCCTTGTGGATTTCTGCACCCCTCGCCCCAGAGCAGAAAAAAAACAAACCCAAGTTCATTTCCAGCACATCTCACTACATTTAGTTTTCAACTTCTCTTCATGTATTGATTTGTTTCATAAACATCATAAAATAGTCACTGGCTGAAGGCAACTTTGACATGCCTGAAATAGAAGTTAATGCACAAAAGAGACTCTTAATCCTGTCTTGTTCTTTTGGGTGGTTAGATTTCCTACCAGGTTAAATTCAGAGAAATAGAGAACAAGACTTTAAATTGTTGAAGACTGAAATTTTTATTGTGTAAATTTCTTTAAAACATCGTGTACTGTACAATTCTTAAAGAGAGCTGTCTCTGAATTGTCTTTTCATGATGGGGCATTTTTCTTATGATATTTTAAATTCATACTCATTGTCAGATCTTTTTCAAAAGCTAGTGGAAAATTGCATTAAAATTTTAAAAGAAGCCAATTGATGAACTTCATTTATCTCTTAGGTGTAAGGGAGCAGCCAAGAGAGAGACAGACACGATGGATACTTTTGTTGATTCTGCTTGGTACTACTTCCGGTACACCGACCCTCAGAACCCTTACAGGTAAAGCCCCTGCCCAGGTCTTTGAGCATGGATCAGTTTGGGTCCTCCAAGAAGCAAACACCAAGACGGAATTAGATGTGCAAGATACTTATTGGGGGAATGCCTGTGCAGGATAAAAGGGAGAGGAGCAGGAGGAGGCAGGGAGAACACTTAGACCATGATGCAGGTGTGACAGATGTGGGAAGAGGAGGGGAAGGAGGGGGAGCAGATGGAAGAGCCTCGGACCGCAGTGCTGCCGTGAGAAAGCCTCAGCCAGGCCGGTGGGGAGCCCTGAGCAAAGCTTGTCCATTGCAGAGTGCCAGGTCAGCAGAAATGGCTCTGCTCTAGTCCCCTCCCTCTAGACTCCTGAGCAGCCTGGGGGAGCATGGGCTGGTGTGAACACAAGAGAGGACCCAAAAATGCAGCAGCCAAGAGCTGCTGCCGCTGGTCACTGTGCTCCTCAAAACAGGCTCTCTTAAAGGGAATATGTTAAATTATTAAATTAGATTATCCACAACCAAGTAAATCCCAAGTACGAGGCAAATAAAACAACAGAATAAGGAAGGAAATGCTATTGTAATGTGCTCTTTGTGACAAACTGCGTTTATATAATTATAAAGATGTAATGTTATTTATTTAACTGAAAATAATGGTGTAACTACACAGGGAGGTAGGAAGTGGAGAGTATGAGAGAACTAAGAAGTATAGTCAATGGATAATATCCCAAACTGATAAATCAATAAAGAATATAAACATATTTTTTAACAATTGCCAGGAGAAACAGCCAAAAGAATTAAAAGCAGCTGAGGGACAGGCCTTGGAAGAAGGGAAGAATTGGGGCTGGAGACCACTGTTTTTCATTATAAACCTTTCAGTACTATTCAAGTTTTCATCCATATTCATGTGATTCTTTGACAAAAAAAGAAGAAAAAAAATTAAGGGAAGGTGAACAGTAGGTAGCCAGGCAAAGAGAGAGAATAAGAGCTAAAGACAACTATCCTGAAGCCCAGGAAAAAATACAAGCACTGTGCTTAAAAGGACCTTGCCAGATTGCTCTAGTCCATGGTAAAAATATTCTGGATCCCTGTTGTCTACATATAAAAATGCCCCCTGATTCTTCATTGGTGGTAAAATGATATATTTCTGGTGAGATAGGTGCTCTTGCCCTCCCCCTACATCCTGACCTGCGATGTTGCATTTCTGTAATTTGAGTTCATTTCAGAAATGAGTGGGATCCTGAGTAAACAGTACCCTGCAAAGGCAGAAAGGATGCAAGGTACTACCACAGCTGGGACCCACCGAGGTGGCCCTGTCTAACCCATGGAGGGGCTCCTTTTCTGGGCCTTCCTTCTGGAAGGGGCCATAGGTGCATTCCATTTAGTAACAGCTGGCTTGGAATGCCAGGGGAGCCGGGCTATTTGCCTTCACAGGGTGCTTCACAGAAGAGCCTTCATACAGGTGACAGAGGCAAAACCACAGTGACGGACCTCTGACTGTGCCAGCTGCACCCTGAGACCCGCACAGCCGCCAATCTGCAAAGACCGCAGAGCACTTCATTTCCCTCATAGCATGCTGCTGTCCTACTCAGCGCCAGCTTGAGTTCTCACAGGATGCTGTCCTGGGTAGATCATAAATCCCAGCCATCGCTACTTTCAACATTTCACTCTGTAATTTATCCCAAACCTGTTTTGGAGCTAAATACCATCCTTCACTTCTCTTTCTTTTCTTTTGCCTGGGTTAGCAGTTGAATTTCTTGAGGGAACCATTTTTCACAAAAGAAGAAAATGTTTTTTTAATTTTTACCAGAGGGTTCTGGCATGGTGACTAGGACGAAAAACCCAGGCAACATTGAGACACAGCATGTGATGCTTGGCCAGGCAGAAGCGACAAGCTCTAGCTCCCAGCCTCAGGGTTGGAGCCAGCCAAGTCCCTGCTGGGAAAAAAAGGTGCCTTGAGATGTCGGGGAGAATTCACAAATATTTGAAACTGAGGAGTACAAAGCTTCCAAAGGCAAAGGGTTACTTGACAGACTGACTTCAAGTGAGGGTGCTACCTTGGGAATGGAAAGATCTGTCCCTGGCCAGCTCTGCCGCTTCCCCTAATGGTCCCAACCGAAAAATAGAGAGAAGTGGAGTTTCCTGTTCTCTCCAGGACCCTGGAATGTGAGGAAGCCTTTCTTTTAGTATCTTCATTCATTAAAGAGTAGCTACTAGATGAGAGAGAATTATTGGGCTATTTTATGACAATTTACCCTAAATATTCTTTAGTGCATTCAGTGAGCCATATAGGCTCTTGCGAACTATCTATATTTTAAGGCCACTTTAAAAAATAAGACTAGATTTCTGTTTTAAAATGAACATTTAGTAGCTGCATGTTAATCTTCATTATAAATGCCACATTGCCCTCTGTTGGTGAGCACTTAAAAATCTCAATTATCTAATCATAGTAAAAAGTAAAATAAATCTAGATGTTCTAATATGCATTGTACTGAGATACCTTTTTCGCTGGTATGTTTTCCTCTTCTTTTTTTTTTTTCTAAAAAGATGACCGGTAAGGGGATCTTAACACTTGACTTGGTGGTGTCAGCACCATGCTCACCGTGTGAGCTAACTGGCCATCCCTATATGGGATTCAAACCCATGGCCTTGGTGTTATCAGCACCGCACTCTCCCTAGTGAGCCACGGCCAAGTCTTCATTTTATATGAAAATCGTATTTGTTAAAATGTCAATAATGTCTTTTTGTAACAGTTTTTGTAAATTTCATAAATTAACACCAATTTGATTTCTTTCTCCTTTATTATATAAGCTTTTCTCTTTTTATATTTTAAAAAGCAAGTCACTGTTTTTCCCTGACGTTATTCATTTCAAAGCATATGCTTACAGTAGGTCTGTCTAATTTATGCAGTTGTGTTAAAGCAGGTTTTTTAACATGCTCATTTCTCTTTCTTCCAGCCCTTTTAGCAAAGCGTTGGCAGATTACTGGATGCCTGTGGATTTGTACATTGGAGGGAAAGAACATGCTGTCATGCACTTGTTCTACGCAAGATTCTTCAGCCATTTTTGCCATGATCAAAAAATGGTCAAACACAGGTGAGCATATACTACTTTACAAAAGAATTCAATTCCATGAACAGCAACTTGAAGCAGGTGTTAGTTCTGAAGCAGAGTAAATATAGGTAGCAGAAGAATTCTGTTTTTCAGATGTGCTTCAGAGGTCGTTGTCAGCCTTAACCATCTGAGGTACATTTATATTGCTCAGTCAGTTCTAGCATGTGATGATGTATGCTCACGTAGAATCCAGCCTTCAGTGCTTCTCCATTTGTTTTACTGAGTTAAGTAATTTGAGATCTTTACGTATGAGGCAGAGAGGAATGGTCCATAATGTTATTTGGCTTTTTATAGCATCTCATGTGAGGTTATGCATATCATCTGGTCCCTCTATGTAATTTCTGTTTCTAAGCTTGCCTGAATCCTGCCTTGATACATATCACTCTGATAAATGTGGATAATGGATTAGAAGATGGAGAATCATATTGTAAATCCATTGACAAGTTCTTTTCCTGTTGGCCTTTAATCTGTTCCTCATAATGTTCAGAAAAATATGTGTGTGCTTTTCCCCATGAAATATATATATAAAAGATGTATTTAATGTATTGTACAATTTAAAGAATAAAATGAGAGTATGTGCCCCACTAAGTATAAAAAATAGAATATTACAGGCACTTAGAATACCGAGGGTGCCCCTCTCCAATCATATCACCCCTCTTCCTACACTCTCCACCGTTCCTCCAGCTAACACCTATCCTTAATTTTGAATTACTCATTTTCTTTTCTTTATAAATTTATCACTTCTGTATATATTTTAAAACAATATATATTGTTATGTTTTCCTGAACTTTATGTAAATAGAACCATATTTCATGTATTCTGTCTTACTTTCCTCAATCAAGATCTTTTGAGATTCAGCATTGTTGGTATATGAAGTTATATTTCATTCCTGTTCCCCTGTTATGTGGTATTCCATTATATGGAATAGAATTTCCGGTACAGATGGCAGTTTATATATCCATACCATCATTAATAGTTATTGGACTGTTTTGCGCAGTTATGAACAAAATTGCCATGAGCATTCTTGCATATGGTTCCTGACATACATGTGTCAGCATTTCTTTAGGGTGTGTACCTAAGAGTAGAATCGCTCAATTGTAGGGTATGCACATGCTCAATTCTTCTAGGGAACACCAACTGCTTTCCAAAGTGGTTATATAAACCTACACTCTCACCAATAGAAATGAGGGTTCCCATCGCCCCACATCTTTATCAACACTTCATATTATCCAACTTTTAAAATTTTGCCAAACCGGTCAGTATATAACAGGTCACTTTGTGTGTTAAATTTGACACTGGAAACTTAGCATGTTTTTAATATGCTTATGGATCTCTGTTTCCTCTTCCATTTAATTCCTGTTAGTGTCCTTTGCCCTTATGTCCTCTGGGTTGTCATTTATTGATTTGTGGGAGTTCTTTAAGTATTCTGGATACTAATCTTTTTTTCAGCTAAATTTATTGCAAGTATTTTTTCCTAGTTCTTGGCTTGTCTTATTTATATGGTTTCTTTTAATGAGATGAAATTTTTGATATATGTAATAAAACTTAATCTTTTCCTTTATGGCTATTGCTTTTAGTGTCTCAGTACCATTCATGGAACAGTCCACTCTTTTCCTCACTGATCTGTAGTGTCCTCTCCATCATAAATCACGTTGTCATATATGCCAGGGTCTATTTATAGGATCGTTATTATTCTGTCCATTGGCATATTTGCTTTCTGCAGTGCTAGTTTACTGCCTTTGTTATTTTAATTTTACAAGTCTGATATCCAGTAAGGAAATCATCTTACTTTGTTCCTTTTCTTCACAAGAATCATGGCTATGATTGGACATTTGTTCTTCCATATAAATTTTAGATTCAACTTGTTAAATTCCCCAAAAGTTTCTATTGGGAGTTTAATAGAATGTCTTTTTTTTTTTTCCAGGTAGGTCCATCTATTTCTTATTTGTCTGAAAATATATTTATTTCAAGCTCACTTTTTTAAACCTCACTTTTAAAAGATAGTCTAGGGCCGAGCCTGTGGTGCACTCGGGAGAGTGCGGTGCTGCAGGTTCGGATCCTATATAGGGATGGCCGGTGCGCTCACTGGCTGAGCGTGGTGCGGCCGGTCTACAAAAGGACAAAAAAAAAAAAAAAGATAGTCTTATTTACAATAGAATTGTAAGTTGACAGTTTTCTCTTGGACAAAAGGACAAAAAAAAAAAAAAAAAGATAGTCTTATTTACAATAGAATTGTAAGTTGACAGTTTTCTCTTGGGCCGTTTTTCTATCTTTCACTGTTGCTGATTAGAATTCAACAGGAGCGATGGGTTGGTTTGTCATTCCTTTTTAGGTGATCCATCTTTTCTCTCTGTTGCTCTTAAGGAATTTTTTTTTGTCTTTGGTGTTTTAAAGTTTATCTGCTCTACCTAGGTATGGCTTTCTTTTTATTTATTCTGCCTGGGACTTTGGACTTCTTAAATCTTTAAGATGGTATCTCAAAAGTTGTTTGTTGCTGTCTTTAAGTATTATCATGCCCTCATCCCGTTCTCCGTAGTTTCTTCTTTTGTAACTTGGATTAGATGTATTTAGACCACCTCAGTTTACGATCCACATTTCTTAGTTGTCCTTTCACAATATCTATATTTTTTTGTTTCCCCAGTCTGCATTTTGGGTGATTTCTTTATACCTATCTTCCAGTCTCTAATTGTGTCTCTGTATCTAATCTGCTAATTAATCCAACCTTTGAGTTTTTTATTTCAATTATTTTATTCTTCATTTCTAGATGGGTATTTTAATCTCCTTTATTGATGTTATAGTCTCTTCTTGATATATTTCAAACCTTTCTTTATTTTTTAAAGTATATTAACCATTTTATGTTATCTGTCTTATAGCTATATATCTAAAGTCATTTAATGTTTCTTCTGTTCTCACTCATGGTGCCTTGTTTCCTTGTGCACGCGTCCGTGTGATTTTTAACTGTACACTTAATATTTGTTGCACCTTTGTTTATGAACCACTGTACTAGAAATGATTTGTGTTAGCTTCACCCTCTTGCTTGGAGATACTACCAACCCAAGACCGCTTTAAATTAAATTTTCTGCTTGAAGTTTTTAGAATTATACAGGTAGCATGACTTTAGTCCCAAGCTTATATAAGGGTCTACTTATGTCGACAATTCTCAGGAGAGATATTTTTCTTTCCTTCAACACATCACCATGGTCAAGATAGTAAAATTTCCTTGCTTTTCTATTCTGAACCACAGGTTTATTTCTAGTTCACCTTTACATGGGCAGTTCCTGGCTTATTTGAAGGTCTTCTCCTAGACTCCCAAGGTTGATCAGGCCCCAGGTTTTATATCCCATCTTTTGTGCTTAATGCCATTCAGAAGTTCATCACTAGGGTGGCTTCAGAAACTGTACCTTCCTCAGTTTTTTGTTGTTGTTTGGTTTAGTTTTGGTTTTATTTTGGTTTGGTTTGGTTTGCTAGCTCAGTGACAAATTTAAAGCAATGTACAAATTTTTTATATCCCATCTGGCTTTTTCATTTGTTTTTCATCAGGACAGTAATTCAGCCTGTCTTATTTGCCAGACTGCCAGAAGCATAATTCCTGGAATTTTTTCTTTCAGTTGTCCTTTTGTTGTTTTTTGTTTGTTTAATACAATATCCTTTAGAATATTTTTTTAATTACAGAGAAGAAAAGAGCAGGGAGTGGGGGAATGTCTCATTATGTCCTTATTCAGATAATCCATATTGACAGTAAAAAACAAAAACACAAGTAATACACATATAAAATTGAAATTTTTTAACTGCACAGAAAGTGAACATTGATATCTCCCTTCCTGAACCCCACTCTCCATCTTTTCTCTCAACTTATATTTCTTTTGATCTCTTCCAGAAAAAGATTTTGCTTATCTCCACACGTTTGTGTTTTTATTGATATACCCATCTTACATGTTTTTTATATATTGCATATTTGCCTTTTGCTTTTTAAATTTAATTATATAGCTTGATGGTCTTTCTATATCAGGACATACAAATCTCCTATCCTTTTTTATTTGTGCGTAGTATTTTATCATACGGATATCTCATAATTTGTGTAAGCAGTCACTGATTTTTCCAGTTACTATTGCAAAAGAAAAAATGTCTAATTACTCTCTTTATATTCATAGTAAGTATTTGAGAGCATGTCTGTAGGGTCAAGTCCTAATGCTGGGGAATCCTACATCAAAGGATATGTATTTTTATAGGTAAAAAATATATTACTTTTAGCACTTTTATTACTTCTGTAATACAGACTAAAACCCAGTTTCATTAAAATGAAGCACATGGAAAGCCACCTCCCTTCATCCTACCCTCAGACCAATTTCCTGTACAGAATACTAATTTAGTTATGAATTACATGCTTAAAATAATTTACTTCTCATTAGTCCTGGAGACCTTCATGTGTAAAAATAAATTTATCTATAACAGAAGAACCCTAAACACATTAACAGCATTAATCCTCAGATAAACAAATTAGTTAAAATGTTTGTACTTTAGGTTATAGAATTTACCAATTCTGCTTTGCATTTTTTATCTATGGAAACTAATTTGCCTGACTAGATAAAGATTATTGTTGATCATGAGGATGGGAATTGTGTTTCTGCCACAGTCTCATGGATATTATACATTCTTAGTGAATATTTGTTTAAATACATTGAGTTTAATCTCTCGATATAAACAGATAAAAGTTTATGTTCTTCAAAGGAAATATTCTCCTTAGAATAGTGAGAATTGGACAGAAGTTAAGTTTAAAGACCAAATATAATATGGGAAATATTTCCTTCTTGTGTAGATCTAGAAACAAAGACCATATGTGGGTGACTTCTGGCTTCTTCACAGCAAGGTCTATTTCTGCCAGTTTCTGAATAATAATTTGTAGAAGTAACCAGTCAACCAATTATTCCATGGCCAACAATCCTAAGGTATAGGACAGGGTCTGGCTATTTTTATGACTTATT